CCCAGCAACATTACATGTCTCCACTATGTGGATGATATTTTAGTCATCACCTCAGTATTGTTTCATAACAAACTTAAATAATCTTAAGTTGGTTAAGCTGTTGATTAAATTTATACTAAGGGCTACCTGTTACTTCTACCAACAGACATTATTTAACCCATTATTATTCCCACCATAACACGAATATTAAGAGAGGAGTATTTTTTTCTCTCAGAGTTCACAGAATATGCAGCGCTGCGTTCCTGAACGATGAACTCACTTGCATAACTAATACCTTTGTCTCTAAGATTTCCTGTCAAAAGCAACACTTGCTGACAAAGGCCTCTAGCATCTACCAAATCCCTAAAGTTGACAACGACACCACAAGACGAGTGATTCTACCCACAGGAGACACAGCCCATATCCTAGCTTCCTCTTAAGAAAGATGAAAATGTACTCTGCCATCGTCACCACAAAAATTCTCAAGAACTTACTCGACCATGTTACACAGCAAAAACCAACATTCCGTGGGTGTATATACCATCCTGTGTAAAGGTCGTGAGAGGGAAACGGGAAAGATCTAAAAAGATTCGTATTAAGTAGCTCAAGCACGCCTGCAGCATCAATAACTAAAACAACGCTTATGGGGTGCGTAGAAACACTGCCTTATATAATATGAACTGGAAACAGTCTGAACTTATCAGTATTGTTCCGCCTATTTCCAGGTGAGACTATATTACCCCCGAATGCAAAAACTCACCTTGACAATGATACTCCCATAACAGCACCAAATGCTTAAACATCAATACACAACCTTCACCCTGATATAATAGACACACAAATGTATCACGCACCCTCCACAATAATACACCCTCTGTGACATATGCATTGTAAATTCCTCGCTTCCATCTCAAAAACGAGATTGAAAATACCGAACGTCCTTTGTGTTTTCATTGCTGAACTATATGAGAATATCGGGCCCTTGTACTGACACACTGCCCGTTAGCAATTATACAGTTTATAGCGATTCAACAAGTGCTTTCCAGGCTCTTACACATTACTTCAGTCCCTGCAAGGAACTTGTATACACCTGCCTCACCTTCCTTCAAGAACTCCGCCCTCAAGGTTATGACATCCGTTCCCTAGGCACTCGCACATTCTGGAGTAACACATGACGAGATAGTCGATGAGCTGCTAGGGCAATGAACAATGCAACATTCAATACATGTATACCACTGCCAACTTCACATATAGCATGTAAAGGTACTCTGAAAACAATCATTACAAACAAATTCGTTGAATATTGGAAAATGCCATGTTCATCAACATACTATGGAACTATTACAAAGAGCTGGGATGTGTGGAAACTCACAAGTGGTAAAACTAAAGCACTAGACATAACACTGGTCAGACTAAGACTGGGACACACTAAGCTAGCAGCTCACACCTACAGGTACAGAATTATATGAATGAAAACTGCACTAGATGCAATGTTACAGAAACAATTTTCTCTTCCACTGTATTCGACATCACATTGCAAGAGTCAGAGTCACACATAACTCTGCCACGACAAATATCCCTTCACCACTAAAAACATTTTAGGAGGTAAAATCCTCCTATTACACATAAAGCAGAACATAACTAAAGAATTAACTCAGTTCTTCCACACTTCCAACAAACTGGGCAATATCTAAATACCATCAGTAACCTAGTATTTTCACCTGGCAGAGACAAGAAGAGCACTGTAAAGTAAAAGGACACAAGTGCAAATAATGTGACATTTTATTGTGGCAACGTTTCGCTCTCCAGGAGCTTTGTCAAGCCGTTACAAACAGTACATAGACACAGAGGGTATATATAAGCTCAGTGAGGTGCAATACTAGTGGTAGTAGTAGTAGTAGTAGTAGTAGTAGTAGTAATACAATATGTTAGAACTTCCACATGAGTAAAGGATATAAAAGCTATACTTGGGAAACATAAAAATTGGTTAGACGAATATTTCTATTGGAGGCTGGATAGAGAAGGTCTGTTTCAATGTTCATTCTCTGTAATGTGCTTGTGTAGTATTAACAGGAGAGACTATGTGATGGCAGGGTTTACTGTTTTCAGGAGGATTCTTGCTAAGATTTCAGAGATGGAGAAGCTGCCTTTGTTTTGTTTAATTGTATTAGAAACAGCTATTAGTGAAGATTCAAGACACTTGCTTTGCGGAAATTAGTTTCTTTGATCACTAATTGGGCGTCCCTGAACTTCACGAGATGATTGGTGGAATTTCGGTGTTGTACACAGGCGTTGATCAAGTTATCGTTCCTACATGCGTAAATGTGTTCATTCAGGCGGGTGTCGAGGTTTCTTGCTGTTTCACCTACATAAATCTTGTCGAAGATTGAGACACTTATGCAGCATATGGGAATGTTTATTCAGGAAACATTTCGCCACACAGTGGCTTCATCAGTCCAATACAAAGAGGAAGGCGTAAGGAGAGGAGTATGAGGTAATCAGTCCCTCAGCCTGGAGTCGATGTGTTCAGTCCATCAATCTTGTAGAATGTACATTCTACAAGATTGATGGACTGAACACATCGACTCCAGGCTGAGGGACTGATTACCTCATACTCCTCCTCTCCTTACGCCTTCCTCTTTGTATTGGACTGATGAAGCCACTGTGTGGCGAAACGTTTCCTGAATAAAGATTCCCATATGCTGCATAAGTGTCTCAATCTTCAACTTGTCGGTTTTTCAAACCATTCATCATAAATCTTGTCGCAGCCTCCACAAGAAAAGAGCTCTTCAGATCATTTATTCTCCACGCACCCACACCACTCCCAACAAAGTTATAATTCTTTCCAACAGCCAGCTTGCACTGAACGTTTCTAAAGTACTTTCACAAGCTAACACCAGAGTCGCCATCGCTTCCAGCACTTCGATAAAGGATCTAACCAGAACAAAATCCAAGCATCACGAACCAGTCAATGCAGGGGTTTACACTATACCCTGTGGAGGCTGCGACAAGATTTATGTAGGTGAAACAGCAAGAAACCTCGACACCCGCCTCAATGAACACATTTACGCATGTAGGAACGATAACTTGAACAACGCCTGTGTACAACACCGAAATTCCACCAATCATCTCATGAAGTTCAGGGACGCCCAATTAGTGATCAAAGAAACTAATTTCCGCAGACGTAAGTACCTTGAATCTTCACTACTAGCTATTTCTAATACAAAACAAAGGCAGCTTCTCCATCTCTGAAGTCTTAGCAAGAATCCTCCTGAAAACAGTAAACCCTGCCATCACATAGTCTCTCCTGTTAATACTACACAAGCACATTACAGAGAATGAACATTGAAACAGGCCTTCTCTATCCAGCCTCCAATAGAAATATTTGTCTAACCAATTTTAATGTTTCCCAAGTATAGCTTTTATATCCTTTACTCATGTGCAAGTTAATTGTTCTAACATATTGTATTACTACTACTACTACTACCAGTAGTATTGCACCTCACTCTGAGCCTATGTATGCTCTGTGTGTCCATGTACTGCTTGTAACGGCTTGATATAGCTCCTGGAGAGCGAAACGTTGCCACAATAAAATGTCACATTAGCTGCGCTTGTGTCCTTTTACTTTGCATATTGTCGGTAATTCTACCAACTTTATAACAAGAAGAGCACTAAGACGTTGATTCCTGCAAGCAACCGCAGTGATAACAGACATCAATAGTCACTCCACATTACTACTTGTATAGTCAACAGCAGAAGAAACCTCGAGATAAACTTCTCGTATCGTGAAGACTAAGTAAGTAACAGAGGAAGAATACAACCACATCAGCATGAAGTGCTCAGAAGCAGCTCTAATTATGACCTCAAATGCTATTCCTCAGAGCAGAGTGGCTTTCAGTTTAGCCTTACTCCTCGCTCACGTCATACTCAAACAAATATCAGGCTAACACAGACGCAATATAATCCTCACAGCAACGATCCTGGATAGTGGAGCACTGCAGTAGGTCGTAGTGGAGCACTGTAGTAGGTCTATCTGATAAATCCACACTTGTGCAACAAAGATATAAAATACCGACAATATGAAAGTTTAGACACATGTGCAACATGTGTCTAAACACATGCACTAGACATGTGCAACATCGTGATGGAGGAGAATCCTTCACCACGATGCTGTGAACACTAATTCCATGGCTGAGGGACTGATTACCTCGTCTTTTGTATATAGTTCTACTCTTTTCTAATTATGTCCTAGAATCTGTATTGATAAAGCCACTGGATGGCGAAACGTCTACAGTAAAGATGACAGCACTGGTCATATCACCTTCACCTGACGTTCTATCCTCCTTCCAACTTTATATATCAGCACATGTTTGATGTCCTAGAATCACTCACGAGAGTTCACTTCGTGTGAACGAAACAACGTGTACCTCTATAAACGAAGATTCTTCTCTTTTCTTTAGTTCTTTTATCAATAGATCCCATGAAATATAAGAACACAGATGCTTTGCATGATACATTAATATGAAAATGCATTATTCAGAAACTGCAGGTTATCAGATGTGGTAACTTGTGTGACCAGCTGGTGGTCAGGACACACAGCAGTGATATAAGTAATCCTAACTTAAGGAGGTTTCTGTTAACATCCTGAACTTCTGAGGTGTCATGTTGAAATACACAAGAGACGTGAAGAACCAGACAAGATATTATCACAACTTACAAAATATTACGAGGCAGACAAACATGAGTTCTTTATTCGAGTTGCAATGAAATGAGAATTACACAATCAAATAAGCTTCATGGACGTCAGATTACATTTAGTCAACATATAGGTGGTACACAAGCGAAGTGAACCGAACAATGACCGTGTAAGCCAACTTAATACATGGGGACGAAATACACTTGACGAATATTTCTCGTCCTTCAGTTGAAAGTTATTTAAGAGATGGTACCTAAAGTTTGAGCACTCCACCTCTTATCTAATACATTCCTGGTTAATTAGCAATGGATTTAATTGCATATAGGTTTGCTAGTGACGTGGAGCTGATGTGTGGGTCCCGTCCCTCATTGTACTGGCTGGTGTGCTGGAAGGTGCTCTCTCCTGTCCTCATGGTCACCCTGCTAGTATCCTTCGTCATCAAGATGGTCGTCGAGGGAAGTACGTACTTGGTAAGTAACTACCCTTCCTTCTTTCCATCCCGCCTCCCCCTTCTTTCCTTTCTTTTTTTTCTGTCTGTCTCTCTCTGTCTCTCTGTACTCTTCTAGATGAGGCTGCAGGGGTCGTGTCTCAGTTCCTGGCCCCTTCTCAGTGGTAGCCGCTGCTGGTTTCATACGTATTAATTATTAACACTGTATGGCACCCATCTCTATCACTTATCTGTGTAGATCACTCCATTTCCTGACCAGTCTAACGCTAAACAAGTGTATTATAACATCCCTGTGACTCATTTGTGTTTTTAACTTACAGTTGTGACCTTGTAACCCGCCTCTGGTCCTTCTCCTGTGATATGTGTATATGTGTGTGTTGTCACCTATATGTGGTTACAAGGGTCGATTCACAGCTCCTGGCCGCGCCTCTTCACTAGTGTGTGTAACTCCAAGCCAGTGAGAATAAGAGAATTATATTCTATGTTGCATATAGTCCCGAACAAAACAGTGAGGATGACGCCCTTTTATATGATGAAATTAAGTCAGTCTATAGGAACAATGAGGCATTACTAGATGATGACTTACAGATCCCAAACATACAGTGGAAGACACTACCTGCGAACCAGGAGCTGCTAGAATTGTTAACACCATTGAGTAGACTGAGGACAAGTTAAGCTCAAACTATCATTTCGGATATACAATGCAACAACATTCTGGATCTTGATCTGACCACAGAATGTGACATTATACAATCATTCAAGATAAGAGAGAAACTAGAAAACATTGAACGCAGTAACATTCAACTCAAAATACAACATATTTGAGATCCAAAATAATATAATGATTGTTCCCAATTACTGAGCTGCTAACTTTGATAAGACGCAACGAGATATCTTATATAACCTTGTACTCATGTTCAAGTTGATTGTTCTACCACATGTATTATTACTACTACTACAACTAATATTACTACCTCTACCACTAGTATTACATCTCACTCTAAGCCTATATATACCCTCTGTGTCCATGTATTGTTTGTAACTGCTTGATAAAGCTCCTGGAGAGCGAAACGTTGCCACAGTAAAATGTCACATTAGTTGCACTTGTGTCCTTTACCTAACAGGATATCAGTTACGTAAACTTAGTCGTACTACTAAATACAACTAATTTAGAGGAAATGTGGAACAGACACAAAATCCTAAGCATTGAAATGGATAACATACCAAGAATGATAAAACGTGATAAAAAAAAGCAAAGCAGACTATCGAGACAGCTAACTGAGATCATAGGTGAGAAACAAAATAGGTATAAGTGATTTAAGCTGACTGGTAACCTCAAGATAATTACATATGATTACAGGGGAAATCAAGAGAAAACTCAGAAATGCTTATCGGGATTTTGAAAAATGAATGACGTAAAACATCGAAAGTAATCGTAAAGAATTCTTCAAATACGTCAGAAGAAAACAGTAAAAGCAACGGCATAATAGTTAATTTGCCATAACGGCAGAACGACTAATAACAGTGATACATCATCCATACTCAACACAGTCGTCGCCACTGTGTTCACAACTGAACACAACTTTTCCAGGCTGAAAATTTTGCATTCAGGGTCTGAATGCAAATTTTATGTATTTAGGGTACCTAAATACCTAAAAATCCACAAATCAAGCGGACCGGATGAAATACTGGCAAAAGTTACAAAAAGTCTGGTTTCAAATATCTCACCCAGAAGTTTAATATGTTTATGCCCCTCATACCCATCCTGTGGGCGGTAGTCACCACATACCCATCCTGTGGGCGGTAATCACCACATACCCATCCTGTGGGCGGTAGTCACCACATACCCATCCTGTGGGCGGTAGTCACCACATACCCATCCTGTGGGCGGTAGTCACCCCATACCCATCCTGTGGGCGGTAGTCACCCCATACCCATCCTGTGGGCGGTAGTCACCACATACCCATCCTGTGGGCGGTAGTCACCACATACCCATCCTGTGGGCGGTAGTCACCACATACCCATCCTGTGGGCGGTAGTCACCACATACCCATCCTGTGGGCGGTAGTCACCACATACCCATCCTGTGGGCGGTAGTCACCACATACCCATCCTGTGGGTGGTAGTCACCCCATACCCATCCTGTGGGCGGTAGTCACCCCATACCCATCCTGTGGGCGGTAGTCACCCCATACCCATCCTGTGGCGGGTAGTCACCACATACCCATCCTGTGGGCGGTAGTCACCACATACCCATCCTGTGGGCGGTAGTCACCACATACCCATCCTGTGGGCGGTAGTCACCACATACCCATCCTGTGGGCGGTAGTCACCACATACCCATCCTGTGGGCGGTAGTCACCACATACCCATCCTGTGGGCGGTAGTCACCACATACCCATCCTGTGGGCGGTAGTCACCACATACCCATCCTGTGGGCGGTAGTCACCACATACCCATCCTGTGGGGGTAGTCACCTCATACCCATCCTGTGGGGGTAGTCACCCCATACCCATCCTGTGGGCGGTAGTCACCCCATACCCATCCTGTGGGCGGTAGTCACCCCATACCCATCCTGTGGGCGGTAGTCACCACATACCCATCCTGTGGGCGGTAGTCACCACATACCCATCCTGTGGGCGGTAGTCACCACATACCCATCCTGTGGGCGGTAGTCACCACATACCCATCCTGTGGGCGGTAGTCACCCATACCCATCCTGTGGGCGGTAGTCACCACATACCCATCCTGTGGGCGGTAGTCACCACATACCCATCCTGTGGGCGGTAGTCACCACATACCCATCCTGTGGGCGGTTCACCACATACCCATCCTGTGGGCGGTAGTCACCACATACCCATCCTGTGGGGGTAGTACAAACATGGTACAAATACCATATGTGGGGCCGGAGTGGACCCCAAATTATGATAGCTGTAGTCACCCAAAATAATCCTGGTGAGCGGTCACCTAATACACTGGCGAGTTTACCAGATAATGTCAGCTCACCCATACCCATTGGTGCAGGTATGACACCAATACCAATCTGTGAGCCCCCTGATACCCATCCTGGCTAGTCCACAAATTGTAGGGTTAGTCACCCCAAATTTTGGTAGCTCACCCATAAACTCGTAAATAATTTTATCACACATACAATGTGAGGCTAGCACCACTAAATCCGTGGGGTATTACCACTAATATCTTGGGAGGTAGACAAGACCATTCCTTCAGTTATCATCCACATCCCTCCTGGCGTGTCAAGCAATACACCTGTGCGTTTTCAACAACACCAACCCTAATAACCGAAAATACATGGTGTCGGTAGAAACAAATACATGTAAGTACCAATATCATGCCTGTTTGGTGTAAATTTATTACAAAGGTACAAAGGTCCCAACAAAGGTTATATCTACAGTTACAAGGATGAAACCCATGACATGGTCCACTAATCATGGAAGTTACAGATGAAAATACTTGCTATAGACAGAACTTCATATGCACTAGCCAATGGTGGCTATCATGGAAGAGTGGTATCAGTGGAAGAGGTATCATGGAGAGTTTAATACAATTAAGCTACCCAGAAACCGTATATTTAACAAATCAATAGAAGTGAAAGTGCTAACACTGGAAAGTGTAGATATATCAATAATCATTTAAAGGAGGAGACAAGACATATGTCTTCAGTTATCATCCCATCAACTCTACGTCAGTTTTAAGCAGAACGCAGTTAATTTTCTGAAACAACACCAACCTAATAACCGAAAACTAGCATGGATTTGGTAAAAGAAAAAAAAAAGAAAAACAATATCATGCCCATCTAACTTTTTGTAATTTTTCAATTTACAGAAACTAGGATGAAAAAAGTCCCAACAGATGAGGTATATCTAGATTTCCAGGAGACCTTTGACAAGGTGCCCTATCGAAGATTGATGTCTACAATGAAAATACTTGGTATGGGAGACAGACTTCATGCCTAGCTAAGTGAGTGGCTCAGACAAGAGTGTGGTGCTCAACGGAGAGGTCTGAGAGGCTTGCAACAATCTTCCAGAGTGTAGTGATGTACAGGGTCCAGGGGTTATGCAATAAGGAGATACCTTTCTCGGATTGTGTAGCCAAGGAAATACATCTAGTGTTTTTTTTATTGATTTACCTGGGACAGATAGGTTAAACATCGGAGACTCGATTATGCCAACACCATAATTCAGTCCGTGATCAACAAGAATCCACAGGTTTATTGATCGCCCATATTTACTACAGTGTCCAACTCTTGTTCAATAAATATATCTCAGTGTAACCGACAATTGTCTGACTCTTCTGGTTGCGCCTGAATTTATACAGTATATTTCCTAACATAATTTTCATGAATTATGTTAGGTGATAAGAGTATAAAAAAAATAGATAATGAAAGATTGGATTTCAGATTGGATGGAGGGAATATGGAGGAATTGAATGTGTTTAGATATCTGAGAGTGGACTTGTCGGCGGACAGGTCTATGAAAGAAGAGGTGAACCATAGAAATGAAGTGAAAAAGGTGGGCGATGCACTGAGACATCTGTAGAGACAAAGAACGTTATGCATGTAGGCAAAAATGGGAACCTACCAGAGTACAGTGGTATCAACAAAACAGGTGTGAAGCATGAGTGTTAAATGTTGCAGCCAGGAGGAAGCTGGAGGTAGTGATGTTGTGTGTGAGGGCGATGTGTGGTGTGAATATTATGCAGAGAATTCGTTGTTTGGAAATTAGGAGAAGGTGTGTTTCTAGTCAAAGTATTATCCAGAGGGCAGAAGAAGGGCTATTGAACTGGTTTGGACATTTGGGGAGCATAGAGCAAAATATAACCTGGGGGGCGTATAAATTTGATGTGGAGGGAAAGAAAGGTAGGGGTCGCCCTAGGAAAGCTTGAAGGGCGAAGATACAGGAGGTTGTGTGTGGAAGCGGCTTGGTTATCCAAGAACTGTGTGTGACCGTGTTATATAGGAATGAGTGATGGCAAGTAGTTTTTACAACTTGACGAGATGTTGGAAGGGATAAAAGGAAACTGGTTATCAAGACTTCAGTTTTAGAGGTTAGATATGCAATGCTAGCACTCTGAATGAAGGGTGGAGAATACTGAAGTTTGGAGGGGCATCCGAAATGCAATGTCGGAATACCTCTGGCAAGACGGTGATAGTAACGGCGAAATTTTTTTTTTCAATTCATTCTATCTCTTTGGGAGACTGCCGGTTAGTTAAAAAAAAATCTTTTTCTTTAGCAGACCTCAATCCCCCATTCATTAATTCATTATAGGCAGTAGAGCACCATACGTGTGTCTGACCCATAACTCTTCCTCAGGCCTGGGATTCGACGCTGGGGGAGAGTGTGGACCGCCAGTGGCCCTCCTGGGCGTGGGTAGTGGCCATCCTGCTGGTGCTCATACCCCTCGTGTGGATACCCATAGTTCCCATCGCCAAGTAAGTATCCCTCTACCTCACTAGTTATCCACTAGTTACCAACACTCATATTAAGACATCACTTCCGTGGTAGGCACCGCCACGCAGGGGAAGGGCTCTTCATCCAAGGAAGTGAAGCTTTCCTTCATATTCTAAGGTAGAACTTTAATGCTTCCTGACTCACGACTCACTCGCCACGAGTTCAATTCCCGCCCGTGGTATGGCTTGACTGCATCCCATTCCCCAAGCTCTGTACTATCCCTAGGGACCCAGCCATCCTTCATAAATTGAATAATACAAAAACCACAGCAATAATAATAGTAATAATACACAGTGCTCACACTGTAGACTATTAATAGAGACGCTGTGTATATTTTAAACTGATTTAACAGACTTACCTTTCAAACTAGCGCCCATTATACTGATTCTATCCATCACTACGTTGTTACTATCCATCCTAACACCCTCTACACTGCAACTATCTATCCTAACACCCTCTAGACTGCAACTATCCATCCTAACACCCTCTACACTGCAACTATCTGTCCTAACACCCTCTACACTGCCATTATTCATCCTAACACCCACTACGCTGCAACTATCCATCCTAACAGCCATTACACTGCAACTATCCATTATAACACCCATTACACTGCAACTATCCACCCTAACGCCCACTACACTGCAACTACCTATCCTAACACCCACTACACTGCAACTATCTATCCTAACACCCACTACACTGCAACTATCCATCCTAACACCCACTACACTGCAACTATCCATCCTAACACCCATTACATTGCCACCATCTATCCTAACACCCACTACACTGCAACTATCTATCCTGTAGCATCTTGCCTAAAAGGGGAGTGGGCAATGAATGAATGTCTAGGGCAACTGGTGTAAATTGCTGGCTAGACAGGTACTGCAAGGAACTTGCAATTCCATTCATTGATAACTGGGACAAATTTTATGGCAGACATGATATGTATGCAAGGAATGGGGTACATTTCTCAGGGGCTGGAGTGGTTGCATTAGCCAACTCGATTGAGGGGGCCGTTGCTGACTTGTCTAGGACTTTAAACTGATAGATTGTAGAGGTATGGGTGTGTGTAGGAAACGATCAAGCTGCAGTACAAGGATTGAAAACAGAAAATATTACCTGGATGCCTCAGGGATATGTTTAATCGACAATATTCAATTTTTTGTTTTAAAACTGCTTGTAAAGGCAAAACAATTAATCAGCAAACAAAGAGAGACAGTTTAGGGCAGAGAGTGACTAGCTCCCTTAAGGTTTACTATACTAATAGTAGGAGTCTAAGAAATAAGATAGATGAGCTAAGATTACTTGCAAGTGCAGGTAATATAGATATTATTGATATAACAGAGACCTGAAGGTAGATAGAGAAATGCCTTCTGAATGCCACATACAAGGCTATAAACTATTCCACACTGATAGGGTCAACAGGAAGGATGGGAGTGGTGATGTATATTAGAGATAATTTAAATTGTTGTGTTAGACAAGATATAAGATTAGAAGCATCGGACACAGAATCTGTGTGGCTACAGTTTCTCGAGGGTCGTGACAAATTAATTTTGAGTGTGATTTATGGGCCTCCAAATCTTGATAGGGAATACAGTAAACTGCTATGGGATGAAATTCATAAGGCATCTAGATATGAAAATGTCGTGTTAATGGGAGATTTTAACTTTGGACAAATTGACTGGAACGAAACATTAAAAGACAAGTGCTCATAGTAATGGCACCGATCAACTGATAACACCATCTTCAGTCAGCATATACTAGACAAAGAAACTGTTGCTGACATTTCCTATATACAGACATTGTCCAGGCTGATGCAGAGCTCAGAGGCGTGCAGTCATCTGGTCGTACCACCACATACCCAAACGTGTAGCATGTAATCGCATGGCATCACACTGTCACAAATATTACCATAAATTGTGTAATAATTTTATGATAACGGTTTAATAACATGAGGTGACGACCGCTTACGTTCTGTGCACAGAAACTCACACACGAGCTGCTGAATCTCTGCAATAAACTCACCTAAGCCAACAAATAGTAGAGTCAACATGACTGGAAAACACATTTAAACCTATTTTCACAGATAATAATGACTTGGTACTAAATATAATAGTATCAAAGACAGCCATTTCAGATCACAACTTAATCGAAGTCGAGACGTATAAGCACAGGGGTCCCGACCAGCAAAATGCATACACTTACGAGGGTTCTTTCACTAAATTCAACTTTAGCAACAAGAACATTAACTGGAGTCAAATAAATGATGTCCTATGAAACATGCTGGGAGGATATCATCATAAATAACATGGATCCGAACCAGTGTGTTGAAAGGATCAAACTCTTAGGCAGATGAAGTTTGCTCGAGTCATATTCCTGTAAAGAAAAAAAGAGAAGTCGACTGGAAAGAGAGAGACGCTCCCAATGCAGGTGAAGGCAAAGAATCACTGAGCTTCTCAAGGGACTAGATTACCCGAAATGCCGAAGGAAGCACTGACTATGGAAGTAGAAAATATTGAAATTGAGACAAATGAGTCATACAGGATCAATGAGAGAGAGGGACTAAAAGAAATTGATTAAACTGAAAAAAAAAATCTTTTAATATGGAAAAAACAGGCGAAATACCACATGCTGTATCAGGCCCATGCTCAAACAAGATCCGTCTTGTTTTGACAGGCAGAGATCTTGCAGTCCGCCTGAATGAGCATTGAAATGCCTCTAACAGAGACGATGTAAGGTATGCCTGTGTTCTCCACAGAGACTCCACGGGGCATTTGATGAACTGGAATGAGGCACAACGCGTTCTCACCGAACCAGACCTCAGACGCCGACGGTGCCTAGAAGCCTCACTAATCGCCGTCACCGACACTATAGAACGTAACACTGGAAACTACAAAATTTCAAAATCATTGGCATACATGATACTTAAGCACCACCAACCCAACAACACAGGAGTCACATGATTTCATCGTCTACCCGTTCTCATCCCAACATGACATTCTTCAGGTCACCGTGCGTCACTCACACCTCACTCTCCGCCTATATATATAATGTCTTTCTACCTCTGTATGTTAGAAGTGATCTAGGTCCCAGGACCGAAACGTTTTCTAATAAATATGTCATAGTGTTTGCTTACGTGTCTTTCTAAACCAAGATCCGTCTTACACAGACGACAGGAAAGCAATGGGTGAGATACTAAAATTTTAGTAAGACTCCGTTTAGTGAGCCATTAATCAGACTAATGATCGACAATCCGAATGAATTTTTCATGAACAATCCTCAAAACCTTGTCAATATATGACAAACCTCTAACATAATGCTAACCCCACTGGACTTTGAAAAAACATTGACAACATGCCCATGCACTCTACCCCAGGCCCAGACTCATGAAACTCTGTATTCATCAAGATCTGCAAGAAACCCCTTTCGTGATGTGTATACTACGTCTGCACAGAATGCAATTGTAGTATACACAGACTTTGCAAAAGCCTTCGATAAGTGCGACCACGGTGTAATAGCACACAAATTATGTGCTACAGGAATGATTGGAACACAAAGAATAATGCTAATCAGAGATAAGTCGGAGGCTGCCACAGTAAAAAGCTCTGTTCCACAAGGTACAGTATTCGCCCACCTTCCTGTTACTCATCCTCAAATCTGATATAGAAAGAGATGTCCACCATAGCATCGTGTCTTCTTTTGCAGACGATACTAGAATGTGCATGAGATTTTTCTTCCATTAAGGACATGGCAAATCTCCAAGCGAAAAACAATATGATGTTCAATGAGGAGAGGTTTCAATTACTCTCTTACTGAAAACTTGAGGAAACAACCGCTAGAACGGAGTATACAACCAAATGATAGGATGAATAATGAGAACCCTCAAAACAAGGGATGCAATGCCAACTCTGTAAGTCACTTGTTCTCTTTAGGCTGGAATACTGCTGTATACTAACAAGGCAGGTGAAACCTGCAGACCTAGATAATGTACAGAGAACCTTCACTGCAAGTATTAGTCTAAGTATTAAACTTTTGAATATGGAGACGGGGGTGACGCTGTCCGACAAATATGTAAATAAGAAAATAAAACAATATGCAGCCTTTGCATTTTATTGAAAAAGCGTTTCGTTCACTAGGGACCTACGTTTTCTTAATAAAATTTCGCAAGTTGCGTATGTCTTAATTACACAAAGAATATTTGATATTTTCGTCTTTAATGCTGCATATCTACTGAACCCACAATTGAATGTTAAATAGTTTTGTTTTCACTTATTGTATATATTTGTGTCAGTATGTGACACCTTCCACCAACGCCAGAGAAATTCACAGAGCTGAAATAAATCTGATGTATAGTGACCTGAATAATTGGCCAGCGGATAGTGTATCACGATAAGCTCGCAGGGTAATAACAGAAGTAATACATCAGGGATGTTCAGCAGTATATGAAAGAGGTAGAGGAAGACGTTTTCGCTCTGTTAAGGTCGATCCAGAATCCCTGTCTTTCGTAAACAAGTCCTTACTTTCTTCACTTATTTTCTTCACCTCATCACACAGGAATTTCTATATTATTTCAGTGTTGCTTGTCTTGTTTATATAGTTACTAGTGTCCTCCATATCCTTCATTCTCATGTTTTAGTTACATCTCTTTACCAATAACTAATGTTGCTCATTGTAGCCCTCAGAATTGCAATCAATAATTGTTTATGTTGCAGTGCGCTTGGGTTCCCGCTACTGACAGAGGAAGAGCCAGCCTGGTTCCCCGAGAAGGAGCTGCGCAGCGCTCAGGACATCACCCCGCAGAGGTTTACAGCCCTCGAGAGAGCTTTACTATGTCTCTCAGTCTCCACGGAATCTCTCAGGGTATGAATGGCCACTTGTCATAAACACGTACATACACTGATGTCCACAAAGAATACATCTGTCTGTCTGTCTCTCTTTATGTCTCTCTTTCTCCTGCATTATTTCCTATTGTTCAATTTCACATACATTCAGGTCAGGTTAGGTAAGAGTCTTCAGGAAACAGGACAAATACCTTCTGAGGTGAGTCTCAGTCATATAATAATCCGCTTCGGAAGGTTTGGTTATCCGAAATCTTCCACTGAGCTACAGGTCCACCTACTTAAAAACTTATAAATAGTTACGTCAAAAATCTTATAAATAATACATCAACGTAGCTGTAATAAATGAAGTACCTTCGATACTGGAAAAGCTCTGTGCAAGTACTAGCAATCTGTAAACAACTACTAATCCAGCTTTTTAATGAAATCAAGTAATGAAAAATGGTAGCATATCAAGAAGTAGCAATATTAATGATAGTTGAAATTCTAGTGACAGGAGAAATATACATTTTTCTTAAAAAAAAAATACACATCTCTTTGGGTATTACAGGATGACGAGGAGTCACAGGGAAGGGGCGGTAACGAGGGTAACATCCCTAACAACAGCTCCCAGCAGGCACTCCTCCCGCAGGACTCCAAGACCTCCACCGCCGCCTCCTTCACAAAAGCTGCCAACGGCCCCTCCACGGACACCAACAACACCTGGAACGCCACCAAAGCCACCTCCAACAACCTCAAAGCAAAACCCAAGAAACCAGCTGGAGGAGAGAAAGGGAAGCTGCTCCACGCTTCGACAGAGGACAAACCTCAAACAAGAAGGAAGAGTGAGGAGAGGGACAAGAAGAAAAAGGACAAGAATAATAGGAGCAGCATGTAAGACACAAGACAAGCAAGAGCAGTATGTAAGACAAGACAAACAGGAGCAGCATGTAAAACAAGATAAACAGGAGCAGCATGTAAGACAACGATAAACAGGAGCAGCATGTAAGACAAGATAAACAAGAGCAGCATGTAAGACATAAGACAAATAAGAGCAACATGTAAGACAAGATAAACAACAGCAACATGTAAGACACAAGGCAAACAAGAGCAACATGTAAGACACAAGACAAACAAGAACAACATGTAAGAACACAAGAAACAAGAGCAACATGTAAGAACTACAAAAACATAACAAAGCAACATAAGACACAAAGACATAACAAGAGCAACATGTAAGACACAAGACAAACAAGAGCAACATGTAAGACACAAGACAAACAAGAGCAAGAGGTAAGACACAAGACAAACAAGAACAACATGTAAGACAAAAGGACAAACAAGAGCAGACATGTAAGACACAATACAAACAAGAGCAACATGTAAGACACAAGACAAACAAGAGCAACATGTAAGACACAAGACAAACAAGAGCAACATGTAAGACACAAGACAAAAACACAGCAGACAAAAAACAAGAGCAAATGTAGACACAAGACAAACAAGGGGCAACATGTAAGACACAAGACAAACAAGAGCAACATGTAAGACAAGATAAACAAGAGCAACATGTAAGACACAAGACAAACAAGAACAACATGTAAGACAAGATAAACAAGAGCAACATGTAAGACAACAAGAACAAAAACAAGAACAACAATGTAAGACACAAGACAAACAATGCAACATGCAAGACAAGACAAACAAGAACAACATGTAAGACAAGACAAACAAGAACAACATGTAAGACACAAGACAAACAAGAACAACATGTAAGACACAAGACAAACAAGAGTAACATGTAAGACAAATGACAAACAATACAACATGTTAGACAAGACAAACAAGAGCAACATGTAAACACAAGACAAACAAGAGCAACATGTAAGACAAGATAAACAAGAGCAACATGTGAGACACAAGACAATCAAGAGCAACATGTAAGACAAGACAAACAAGAACAACATGAAGACAAAGACAAACAATAGCAACATGTAAGACAAGATAAACAAAGAAAACATGTAAGACACAAGAAAAACAAGAACAACATGTAAAAACCAAGAAAACAAGAGCAACATGTAAGACACAAACAAACAAGAACAACATGTAAGACACAAGACAAACAAGAGAAACATGTAAGAACAAGACAAACAAAGCACAACATGTAAGACAAGATAAACAAGAACAAGTAAGACACAAGACAAACAAGAACAACATGTAAGACACAAGACAAACAAGAACAACATGTAAGACAAGATAAACAAGAGCAACATGTAAGACACAAGACAAACAAGAACAACATGTAAGACAAGATAAACAAGAACAACATGTAAGACAAGACAAACAAGAACAACATGTAAGACCAAGACAACAAGAACAACATGTAAGACAAAGACAAACAAGAAACAAAAAACATGTAAGACACAAGACAAACAAGAACAACATGTAAGAGAAGATAAACAAGAACAACATGTAAGACACAAGACAAACAAGAGCAACATGTAAGACACAAAAGCAATATATAGAATAAAAGGCGAAGTTTTATGGATCAAAGGCAATAATTTATGGAAAAGTTGATCAACGTTGCTGTTTCTGTTGGTATGTAATACTACATATAATCGATAATTAGCGACTGTGTCACAGTAGAGAGGAACATATCTGACTTAAATAGGAACTGTGTATTAGGAAACCTATCACAAGAGAAATTTATTCGTATATTTGTTGCTTCTAACTTAAGGTAAAAAAAAAATGGTGTAATGTAATATATATATGTATGAAAAAAAAAATAATGTATCCCGCAATAGCATAGGAAAAATTTTTTTGGTGAGGATTTTGAAAAATTCCAGAATTGTTATGATCCTGGTCCCTTTTCTTCCCGTCTCCTCGCGGTCTAAATTTCTTTGATACTCTTAAGCTTCCAAAAGTTGTACAAATTATAATATATAGAAAATTATTTAACGAAATGGAGCTTCCGATCACTTTAAAACTGTATTGCATCTACGTAATGTTCAGTAATAACATTCTTAAACTATAATTTCCACCTCTGCTTTCCACATCACTTTTAATATAACCAAAGAATAATGACAATATATATATATATATATATTATATATATATATATATAATATAATATATTATATATATATATTATATATTATAAAGAACATATTCCGTGCAAAGGACCCAGCAGTTCCGGCAATAAGGATTCTTTCCCAAATTAGTGTGGCCTTCTACATATTAAGTGGGCCCTTCTACAAAGTCAGCCATGACAGACCTGCAGGTCATGACAGACACACCGGATGTCATGTGACAGACCCGCAGGTTGTGACAGAAAAATGGGAAAGTACATTAACCCGACATGTCATGACAGTTGACAAAACCCGGAAGTCATGATGCGACTGACAGGTTTGACAGTGACATAAACCCAGGAAGTCATGATGCAGACTGACAGGTTAAGTGACATAAAACCCAGGGAAGTCTGATGCAGACTGACAGGTTTGAAGTGACATACCGGGACCCAGAATTCGAGTATAACGGGACTAGGTTTGTGGACAGGGGAATAACCCGGGAAGTTCATACTTATGTAAAGGGCGTGGTGGGTACACAGCTGTGGTTTCCCGATGAGACTGGCAGGTGGGCCCTGCCCAAAAAGCTGGGAGGCATTTTGCTCCTGCAGGCTGCTGATGAGTAAGCCGGAGGCAAGTTGGGTACTGAAGTGCAAGGCCCAGGCAGCACAGTGGCGCGAAAACGGAACTAATGGCAGACACATGGGCTGCAGTGACAAAACCCCGAAGGCTGATTCAGACTGGCACGTTGCGCGTGCACGCGACAATATGGAGTAAAGAAACTCGGTTCTGAGAACAGGACACAAACCAAATAACACAACTGACAGTATGGACAGGAAAAAAACCACAGGGAAGGTCATGAAAAACATGGGGGTGTGTAACATAAAGGAAGTCACGTAGGCATCACTGACAGTTCTGCAGTTGGACAAACTGGAACAAGGAGACTGCGGGTGACAGTGATAACAGTACGGTCTCTCAGCTGACGGTTGCAGTACATTGAACGGAGGCAGATTGCAACACCTGGGGGACATGCTAACCCCAGGGGGGTCTGACAAAACTCGCTGTGGAGGACTACTGGCAAGTCTGGAGCACACTCTCAACTGTACAGTCTGGCCCGCCGGCGAGCGAGGCTGTAGGTGTGACAGTGACATAGACGCTGGGAACATCTGGGAATAAAGGATACTCGTCTTCAGTGAGAGAGAGCTTCAAAGTACATCTTCGGAGGCTGCTCACTTATTGTTGAATGAGGCGGACACGGCTTGTGTCTGTGCTTTGGAGGTTTGCGGGTGGAGACCCGGAGTTCTTGTCATATCCTGCCCCAAGGTCTGGGTGAAGGAAACAATCCTGGGCATCGAAGCAGGCAAGGCTCTGGCAGAACATGGCGAGGAATGAAAAAGCTGGCGACAATGGGTGTCTGGTCAACGGGCTGCTTGTACATCAAGCTGTCCATACCGCGGTCCCCGGGGCGCGACAATAGGTAGAAAGATACTCGGTCTTGCTCAGACTCACTGGACACACAAAATTAAAAAACAATCCGGTACAAAAGGAAACTAGCTAAGGCTCTGTGCATAAAAACTGACTTAGACAAACTAAAGTGTCAGAACATGACGTCGAAGGAATCAATCACACCCTCTTTTCACTCAATCTCGGGAAATCTAAATATTGTGAAACTCGGTACGGTCTCCTCTGGTCAGGGTGATGCGTCAGCCGTGGTCAGGCTGAGGTTTACTAACAGGAGACATCGCGGTGCCTCAGCAGACATCGTGAGGTGACTCAGCAACTCGGTGATCATGAAGTCGGACTCAGTGGGGACTTCTGAAGTCGGGTCGCTGTGGGTCGACGTCCAGCGGGTGGGCAGCGAACAGTTGTGGGCATCGGTAACGACGTAGCGAAAGGTCTAAATTTTAAACCCACACCAACGTGGGGTGGACTACGCAAGGACACTTAGCTTCGAGTGGCGCTCGTGCAACTGGATCACAGCCGCAAGAATTCATTACACGAAAAGTTATAGGGAGGTTGGCTAAGCGGTGATTGGTTCTCACAAGGTGAGCGTGAGTGGGAGCTGGAGGTGAGGAACAGATCCTTCCTTCCCCCGCAGAAAATACGTAGAGAACGACATAAAGTTGACAAAGGCTCACCGGGCTGCTTAAACGCTGTAAATGAGCTGGGACACACAGAGCATCATACAAGTGATGCTACCACGTGCTTGGAACCAGCTGGACACGGGTTTAAAAACACAACGGGGGTCAACATGGTGACCCTAAATTGAGTTTTCGGCAAAATTGGACTGGACTACTAAATGTGAATCTGGTGAGGAATAAAACACACGACTAATTTTCAAAATTTTGAAATTTAGAAATACTGAAAGACTTCATCCCTCTTCTTCCTGTTTGGGCAACACACTGATGCGACCACCTGCGTAGCCAGACAATGGGTTATTTGTATTCTAGCAGGTGAGTTGATACGTCTCGGATGACTTCTTTATTGTTAAGTCGTGGTGGGTCACAGACTTGTTGTGCCCATGATCGGCAGGGCATGCCCAGTGATGAGGGGGAGGCCTTTTGGCTCTGGGCTCTGGTAACTCAGCGGAGGTCTGGCATCTACGTGACATGCCCCACCCACGTGGCGCACCAGCATGGCACTATCGAACTAGCTGGCAGACAGCATGGGCGTCTTCGGATACAGGCTCTGACAAGAATACAGGTTGAAACAGAAAAAACGGCAAGTGAGTGGCGTGAGGTTGTGACAGGTAAACCGGGAAGTTGATGGGACTGACAGGTGGGAGGCACATAAACCCGACGTCATGCCATCCGACACATTGTACAGAGAACATACACGGACGCAGAAATCAGCAGAAACCCGCTTGGCTTGACATAAACGGAGTCTGATGCAGACTGAGAGGTGTGAAGAACAACAACCAAGTGACGCGAACGTGACTTGGGAACAGGGGACATGTAGCGTGGGGTCACTGTGAAGCCACTAAATTCACGGAGAATTTCGGAAATTCGGCCTGGACCGTTTCTGGTCTGGTGCTCAAAACGTGAAATGACATCGGATAACTGTTGAGAGACGGATTCTCTG